TAAGTAAAAGGAAGAAATATAAAGTTGGCTTATTTGATCAAGGTTAAAATAGATACGTTGTTATCTCTGGTAATCCTTAATGGACTTTTGTTGACATCAGGAGTGAAATGCAAGGTTTTACGAATTTGTTTACAGAGATGGGATATGGGAAGAAGAGATCATCTGTTTTATTTTAAGAGAAGGTGATAAGTTACTAAAATTGTTTATACTTCTTGTGATGAAGGGGGAAATCCTTTCTTTATATATTTTCTTCTTCTTTATTCTTCTTTTTCTTTCTTTTCTATTTTTTCTTTTTTCCTGCACCGTCTTTTTTTCTTTTTATTCTTTCATTTTTTTAGTTTGCATTCGTTTTTATTGCTGTAATTGTAATTTTTAATAAAATTACTATAAAAAAAAAAGCAAGCTCTACGGACTCATTCTCATGTGCTTTGCTGTGGCACAAACATGGCCCCATAGTTGATTTTTAGGTCATTTCCTCACAATGTTGTCTTTGCCTCATCCCCAGCCCGTAGCTGAAGCGGCTCAAAGTTGCCTTCAGTTTTCAGATAGCATTTTCCCTCTCCCAGCAGTTTCTCCCATAGATACAATCTAGGCAGGCTTCATCAACGATGGGCCTGCTGGCGCAGTCAGGAGTGAGATCTGCCCAGTTCCTTTCAGCTATGTTGGGCTGCTGAAGGCATATCCCGTCCCCTCCGATCCCTCAAGAACTGTCCTCTGTAGCCACTTTGGCTCACGTTGCACCAGAGGCTAGAGCCCTGGTTTCCATAGAGGCATCAGCCCCTGTAATGCCCCGCCAAACTGTGTGTCACATCTTATGTGTGCTTTTTATAAGCATGGGTTTGGTGTCCTTTGGAAAGAATGCTACACCCGTGTTGTTTTCACATGCTGTCCAACATTCTGTGCTGCGCAGAAAGTCAACCTGACCTGGGAAAGAGAACCAGGTTCTACCAGCTGTGTGTGGCTCATTCTGTCACCCCTAGGTGCATTACAGCTTTCCCACTGCTTCTGCCAAGAAGAGGTTTCACATGGCTATAGTTTACTCGTTTGATGGGTGGTGAGGTCTGTCCTGTTTTGGCCAGTCCATTCCGATTCCATAGCCAGCCATGGACTACTTCCAGATGCTGCTGGACACAAGGACAGCTGGACTCTTTTACAGTACCACCATTCCCTTTCAGCACTAGTCACAGATAGAGATCACTCATTGTACTATATTCTTTCCTGCACCATCCCAAGCCCGTACAACCTGTCCCCCAGGCTATTTTGGAGCATGGGTTCAGCACTCCTTCAGAAGACCACGAGACCCACGTTCAAAAAGTGCTCAACTGTTAGATCACACATGAAGAGCATCTCCACAGCTGCAACCAATTGGCCGTTCAACTTGACAGATGGCTAAACATGCCATTCTAAAGGCCCCTATACCTGTCTAACTCCACCCCACAGTTGTGACAGGCAACATTTGGTGAGAGGAGAAACAAAGCCCAAGGAATCTACTAATGTAGTTCCCTCAACTTCTCTGTAGCAGGGCCTGCCCTCTGATCCGGATGGTCTCCACTCTGCTGTCATTCAGAAGAACGATGAAGACCTGGTTCTTCACCCAGGGCTTTGGAAAGGGAGATTCTTCACTTCCTTCCATCTGGTCTGTCACACTTGCCATCTTTTTATTTTTTTATTTATTTTCTTTTATTATTAAATTTATATGCCACCCATCTCTCCCAGAGGGTGACTCTGGGGGGCTTACAATTAAAAACCAAGCCAATAAAAACAATAAAAATATAAATACCCCCTGATTAAAACACAAATAACAAATCTATAAAAGAAATATACAAATCAAGAAGAGGGGGGAAGCAGTATCAATCATCCCACGAGCCAGCTCCAGCAATGTGAGCCCCCATCAAGGCCCCCAGGCCATCCAGCATAGCCATGTTTTTACACCTTTGCAGAAGGCCAGGAGAGTGGGGGCAGCCCGTACCTCAGCTGGCAAGCTGTTCCACAGGGTGGGGGCCACGGCAGAAAAGGCCCTCTTCCTAGACCCTGCCAGCTGGTATTCCTTGACTGGTGTGGTCCACAACGTGCTCCTTTTTCCTTTTATTGATTTTATTGTAATTTCCTTTTCAATTGTTGTACGCCAGCCAGAGTTGTTGGGAATTGCGTGGCATACAAGTTAAATACATTATGGTTGGTCACACAGTCAGCCAGATGTTTAGACTGGATTTGGCATTTTTATTCACCTATCGAGCTCTTCCCAAGGACCTGGGATAGGCCGATGCTGTTGTTTGATGGTGTTAAAGGTATCATTGCAGGATATAAGCTGTTCCAAATAAAGCTGCCTTTTGCAATTGACTGATGGTAATTTTGTCACTGCTGATGGTCTTCAAGTGGTGCTCCAGATGTTTTGGGATTGCACCTAAGATGCCTATAACTATTGGTATACCTTGGCTTTCTTTTGCCATAGTCGTTCTACTTTTATTGGCAGGTCTTTATATTTTCTAATTTTCTCTAGTTGTTTCTCTTCTCTCCTGCTGTCTCCAGGTATTGCAAAGTCCACTGTCCAGACTTTTTTGTCTTTCTTATCAACAGTTGTTAAGTCTGGGGTGTTGTGTGGCAGGTGCTTTGCTGGTTGAATTTTAAAGTCCC